AAGAAGACAAGAAGTCGTCCGTCTTCATTTACAACACTACACGTGTCATGGCGTAACGCGCGAGGTTAGCAGAGGTAAGCGGGGAGAAGCATTAACTAAGCGGGTGCATTTGGGGACGAACAGGTGCAAGCGTTGGAACACGTGGTCGACGCCGGAGAGGGAGGCGATAAGAGAGAGAGAGCGTGCTGGAGGCACCGTAGATTTCGGAACAAGGGTGTGTGTATGTTAGTGTAAGTGAGGCACATCTACACTGGATGCAAGGTAAATAAAGTGACACAGGAGAAAAGCTAGGTGTGTCCATGTGAGTACTTCACTACACATGTATACAGACCTTACATTAGGCTTTTTCAATAATTTTCAGAGGGGGGCCACTTTCCCTCATAAGACATCAATGTGAGGGCCGCCACACATTTAAAACCATTGGGTCTGACAGCATAATGGGGTATTTTCACATTTGTGTATTGTCAGGGGCCGCACCTCAGGGGCCCCACTAAAGGTCACAGGAGCCACCAGTGGCCCACAGGCCTTGCAATGAAGAACACTGCATTATGTAAATCCACTGATGTGGGTAATTTGGCAATACTTTATCCCACTAGTCATTGCAGGTTGTGAAGGCAGGGAGCATATAAGTACAACTATTATTTTTGCTGCCCGCCGTGTAGCCCCATAGCCTAAAACGACATCTGTGCATGGTGGTCACCCATTCAAGCACTATCCAGACTCAACTTTGCATATCTTCCGATATCTTATGAACATTCTGGCTATGGTCATATGCCATAGGCTATAAGCAGTATACATATTACTCTACATATGACATTCTAATGGGAATGTATAAAATCTACCTATGTATAAAAATGTCAATAATTGCTGTTATTGCCACATTCACATTTGATTATAACAACTTTCACGTGATTATTGGCAGGAGGCATCACTGATTTCCAAATGAACTTTGAATAATATAGGGTACAGTGTTTACATTTAGAACCCCTGTATTTTGCTCAGGGATTTATAGGCGTTTATAGATGTACACAGAAGTGACAATGCACAAGGTCACTTTTGAAATATGCTTGCTTGTTGAAACGTATATTTATAAGCAAAAAAAAGTCCATCAATGAGATGCATTGCAATAGACATTTACAGCCAAGGTTTTACGACACAATTTTGTCAACACGTTTTAAAAAATCATTACTCTGCCCAGGTTTATAACCATAATTGATGACAAATTGACATAGCTTGGAAAGTTATTGTGGTAATATATTCATGATCTTGACTGAATGCATTGGACTGTGACCCAATTTAATTGCAGAGACGACCAGAGCTTTGTCAATGCTAAAAAAAATATTTGGAGCGTTGCTGACATTAATGAGTGAAATAATGTAAGCAATTCATTGTTGTGTATCCCCCACAGGAATTGCTGCTGCCACAGAAGTCAGAGGTCATGCAAATATATTTTTCAACAGGATACCATGAATGCAAACGTGAATATAGTGTTCCGTCAAAAATTTACACATTTGAACATTCTTTTTCACGTGCATGGAGAGCACATTTTGTCAATCCACTGCTGGATGAAGACCTCCCCCGTTGCTATAAAAGGTCATGGAGGTTATACGACCATACTTCACCACGCTGGTCAGTGTCGGTTGGTGAAGGTGTGCGAGCATATACATTGTCGTACTGCGGCAACTTACAACACCTGTTTTGTGCGTGGCGGTCGCTCATGCAATTAGTATTCAGGCTCAAAACCAGCTTATCTTTCAAGATCTGACTGGATTGGGCGCATTCTGGGTTATTTCGTCACAGGGAGCTTCCCGGATGTAAGCTCACAAATACAGCAATAAGTGTCATGTTGTTCCAGAATGCTTTCCACCTTTTTTTATTAGCACCTGAAAACCTCTTCCAATTACTGGACTGTAAATTGCATCTCAACATTTCTATTTATGGCTCACTTGATAAAAGTGTACAGACGCTTTTAACCAACGCGAAACATGTACAGTATTTAATACATCGCAGCAATAATACTAATGAGATTTTGAAATATGTTCCTGCCTGGAGGTTGCTATATGTTGCTATCATTAGAGTACTTGGCTTCATATTTTTTACACATTATTTATGTGTTTGTAATTACACGACAGTATTAACATAATTTACAGAGGGCTTTCATGTAAAAAAGTGAATTCCATGTGTTACAGTTAAGTTCGTCTATTTGGAGGGATAAGAAAATCGATATTGACAAAACCCTGGGTATAGTAATAGGTTTTACCATTTTAACCGGCACAAAAACTGACACCTTTATTCAAGGCATCATATTTGCAATAGCCACAACGCAAGCATTCCAAAGGCAAACAAAAGAGACAACTCTGATAATAATATGCACTGTCCTTAAATTTGATTGGGTGTTGTGGTGGCAGATGCCTGTATTCCAGAGCTTTGGAGGCAAAGGGTTGGTGGATAATGAAGATTTTTGAAACGTCCAAAACCAACTTAAACCTTTTAGTGTAAAAAACACAACCAAGTGCAAACTCACTGACACTAAGATTCCTTTTTTCAAGGGACATGGCCAGGTGGCAGTACAGAAAGTGCGATTCTTGACCCATTTGTTTAGTTCTTTGAGTATTATGCCATTAAATAAACGGTGGGTTTTCTCCAGGTGCTCCTCGTGTTTTCCAACACTCAACACTCTACATGTTAAAAGGAAATGGTCAAACATTCTAAGGGGAAACCCTCCTGGAAAAAGGTATTGAAACTTAGTGAGGCTTTTATGGCTACTTAAATGCGATGCCATTCAAAATGACAATTTTAAGATAACGGCTTCCTGATTTGCTAAATGTGACGGTCACAAGTTCATATATCGGGGTTACTTCAGCCCAGAATTCTTCAGTCAAGATATTAGATATCACTTTGTGAGGAGTCAACAGTGGGTTTTCAATGTGTCAACTGGCCACTTGCCAGGGGAATGTGGACTTTCCAACAGCTGATCCCTCCAACAAAGATAAACCCCCATCCAATGCCAATTGAAAGACGGCCACCGTTATAGAATGTAGTATATGTGTAGTGAGTCCAACTGAGTCGCAGACGTTCTTTAGAGGCAACATTTTTATTGTAACATCAACCCGCTAACACCAGATACAACCTAGGGTGGTGACCACCCAGCGAACTACACTCTACGGAGGAGTTACAGCTACGAAGGGTCAGACCCTCACTCGGGTCCCCGACCACGTGTTGATGCCTCGTAAGACATAGAACTTCCAGCTTGTAGACGTGGAGCTTAAGCTTGTGGAATGCAGCGACCCCGGTCCTTCTCAGGGACCCACCTTATATCCCCCCCCCCCCCCCCCGGGTCGAGGCCGCTCCGCCCTTGGCCCCGCCCACCTTCTCGAGCGTTCTAGCTCCCTCTCCATCCTTCTCGAGAGCTCTCCCCGGACACGTGATCACCCCCCCCCCCACCTGGGGGCCTCTCTGTGGACACCCCGGATCACGTGTCTACAGGGTCAACCAGAGTGCCATGGCCCGGGGCAACCCTGCCCCTGGGCCGACACTCTTCCGCTCCCCCTGGTGGGAGCCCGCACTGCACGCTATGGGTGGTGCTCGCACCAACCCAGCGCTCACCAAGCCCCGCTCGGGCTGGTATGCGATGATGGTGCATCGCCCGCCACGGCCCTCTCAGGCCGCCACCATTCGGTGACATCCCCGATGCCACTACATGTGAACAGAGTTGTTTTTACGTGTAGATGCTCCGACTGATTTATAACGGCCTTCTTACTTCTCAACGTTAATAACTGTAATGTCTCGTGAAAATAATGGCTCCATACATCAAAGGGGGATTTAAAGATGTAACGAGCGTATTGATATTGGTGGGAGACACGTGGAGGCTTTGAAAGTAAATGTTTTCTAAACATCCCTATTATTTTAGTGTGGTATCTATAAATACAATTCCCTGTGCAGCTATGTGCTGTAGGTCAGTGACTTGAACATAAAATGTTGTTATTTACACGTTAATAATGTAACGTATTAAAAATAAAGACCGGTTCCACATCGTAGCGTTGCTTATTTATATACTGCATTTATATTACGTTAACAAACCTGTCAACCCCTTTATCAGTGTCCTACCTTATTGCAGACCAATTCAGACCTTATTGGTCACCCCGTGCCCCTTATAAATCTCAACGTTCATCCTACAAAGTCCCATCACAAGGGAGAAACACAAACAAATAGACAAAAACATGTTTTGCCCTTATTGAAACGGCTGTACGCCATATGGACCTGAAAACTCAATTTGCCTGTACAAGAATACGGGGTAAACCGTATGGGTTGACAGATATGGAAAGGGTAAAAGCTATTCTTATATTTTCCATCATTTTGACACTGCCAAAAAAAAGGGTCCGATAGATATAATGTAACGCATCATCCATCAGCGCAAATCACCACCTTGAATTCTCTACCGAGCGTGACTACTCCACATACCGTGTCAACCCATACGGTTTACCCCGTATTCTTGTACATGGAAATTGAGTTTTTAAATCCCTACGGCGTAAAGCCGTTTCAATACGGTAAAAAAAAATTAGTAATAAAACGTCTGTTTGTGTTTCTGCCTTGTGATGCGACTTTGTCGGATGAACGTTAAGATTTATAAGGGGCACGTGGTGACCAATAAGGTCTGGATTGGTTTGCAATAAGGTAGGGCACTGAAAAAGGGGTTGACAGATGTGATTACACGTGGAACATATATCCGTGTCGTGTACGTTATAGCTCGGGTTACCACCCGTCCCGGTTTGACCCGGATAGTGTGGGATAACTGACATCAGTATTTGTGCGGGATGCGTTTAATTGTACCGGAGATATGGTGGGTGGCTGAGAAACATCTCGGTTTGATCTTCAGTGGTAAAGGTGGCAACTCGTATTAAGAATTTACCTGCATCGATTATTCAACATTAATAGCGCAATAATAGACATTTTCACTGTTCAATCCAGAACTGTATCCTAATTAGTTCCATCTACAGCCACTAGAGGCGTCTAAATTCAAAATGTTTCTACATTTTGTTCGATTCTTTTCATCGAATATTCGACTCTGCATCTCAGCAAGTTAAAATCTGAATCGCTTTGGCAATGGAGCGAAACTTTACGCCTGTACAATATACTCCCTAGTTGTACAATAAAGTAATAAACCCATACAATTCATAGACATAAGTAGGTAAAACGCACACTGGAGTTCGGCTCAGCCCAACTAATGAAAATGTTTTCATGTAGTCGTGGCCATTCCACATTTCTGTGACAGGGGTCTGGTCTTACGACCGGACTATCTCTATATACCGTAAAAGTATTATTTTTAAAAATAAATAAATATATAAACACTACGTACATTCACACGAAATTCTAAACACTGCCAATATACATAACTGTCCGAAAAGTAAAATGAACGGGAGCGTAGTTTTGGAGAGCGGGGGATTATATCGCATCGCGGCAGGATACATGAATCGCGGGGCGAATGTGGAGCTGCTATATATAAGGCCGGCTGGGGGTGCTGAGGCTCACACGGCCCGGTGGGGTGTCCTCTTCAGAAAGTCGCGGGCGAAAACCTTGTGAGGCGATAAAGTAAGATTTTTTTTTAAAGAAAAGTTTTCACGTTTTATACCGGCAATCTGGACGCTCGTTTTAATTTAGCGATGTAAACGAAACGTTTTAAAGTTTTCTAAACGCGTAATTTTAAATTCTATTCACCGGTTAGATGTCGCGGTTTTTGGCGCCATTTTAAATTCAACGCGTGTTGGTAAAAACGTCGCGGTTTTCTCGTTGGTCGCTTGCGTGCAAAATTAATCGGTGTCTTGTATATACATATTTTTTTGTTTTACATCTTGATGTCTTTAAAAAAACACACGAATCTTATCTCGCTTTTTTTAAGGAGAGGCGTCGCAAGATGATGCCTGGGAGGGGCCGCGCGCGTGCCCGCGGGCGCGGCCGTGGCGAGGAGGCCGCAGCACCGCCTGCGCACGCGCAAGGCGATGCCGGAGCCTCGTCCGCCGTGAGTCAAGCACGTGGCGTCAACAAAAATAAACAACAACAACAACAACCGCCATTCGCCACTAAGTGGCGGTGACGTCACCACGACGCTTGTGCCAGGCTATGTGCACCCTGAGGCCAAAAATAAACACGCGCGCACACACGCGCGCGCCACGAGTCTCGGGAGAGTCCCGAGTTTCGATTTAGAGCTTTCGTGACACGCAGGGATTCATCTTGTTGGGTTTTCGGCTACATGCGTTGCGGCCCAAACAACGTGAGAATTGTATTTTATTTTATGTTTTTGTTATTATTTTATTTCCGTTCTACGCGACGTTACCGAACGAATCTTGAGAGAGGTTGTTGTTTAGCTAGCGTAAGTCGACGTCTCTCGATTGTTCGCGATGATGACGGGCGTCGGGACGGCTGCGGATGATTTTTAACAATAAAATTTTCCATTTCCTCGCGGATCTCGATGGCAACACATCCCCACTAATATTGGTATTAATTTAAACTCACAAAATGAGTGATGGGTATATATTTCTCTGTTTAACACCTTAGTGCCTAATTACAGACCAATTCAGACCTTATTGGTCACCCCGTGCTCTTATAAATCTTAACATTTATCCTACGAAGTCCCATCACAAGTGAGAAACACAAATAGACAAACTAATTTCTCCGTATTGAAACAGCTGTACGGCCGTATGGACCTAAACACGATTTCCATATACAAGAATACGGGGGTAAACCTTATGGGTTGACGGGTATGGGTATAAATCACTCAAAATTAAGTACGCCTGACAGATTTCAATTGTGTTTTTGTATTGTTGATGTAACGTTCTTACCCGCCCCAACTGGACATCGCTGAAAAAGAGCTTTATAATTAATTGGATGGATGGATTCTTCCAGTATAAATCTGATTGAGAACGAATACTGAATGGTCGATGGGCGTGCTCAGTGATGACACTTTACTGTTGCCGCCCAGAGCCCGCCCACTCGGTGGATAGCCATGCCAATCAAAATCAAACGCCGCCCACTACTGAAAAAGCCCGATCTATGAAGCGCTTTGTCACAGTTACAACAATAAAAAAACAGTAGTGCAAAATTTTAAAAGGTAAAAAATCACCCAATCGTACAACTAAAACCAAATAATATCTTTGATTTGAAGCGTTCGTTACTGCAGGAAATCCATACGCTTTGCTTCTTTCGGTAAAGGACTCCTTCGTCAGCATTTCCCCTGCTGTGTTGGTCTCACCTGATGACGGTTGCTTGTGTTGCGATCGAAACGTCGTGATCCATTTTCTACCTACGTGACTTTTCCGAAAGAACCAAAGAGTATAAACCATCTCCATCCTACCAGGCAAAGTCCACTGTTCTAAGCATATGCAAATACTGTACATACAGGCAATCACGTGGATTTCTCCGTGGTGCTAACTTTAAAAATAACCGCCACTTTTTTCAAATTTTCTTGTGGTTTTCACACCTGATGATTGCTTGTGTTGCAGTCGAAACATGAGAATTTTATTGTTTTATATTTTTTATTTATTTTATTGTTTCCCTTCTACGTAACTTTACCGAAAGAACCAAGAATATGAATCCCTGCAGTCACGAAAGCTTTAAATAAAAAAAATTCCCACCGAGTTTATTAACTTATTTTTCAGAAGCGACGTGGCCACAATTGACAGCTCAACGAAGTGGCTTGTGGAAATTTATAGCAGCCAAATAATCTAAACTCATGTTTCTAAGGCACGTGTTCCGAACAACAGTTGCATGACATACAAGAGCACATTCAAAAAGTGATTCTCAGCTCAAATTGGCATCGAGGTCGCTGCTCAGATCCTGTTTACAACCATGCTGAGCCAGTTGTGATAATCCAGAAATTTCTATGGTGGGGTGGTTAACTCGTAACTTTGATTACAGGCTGCTTGACAGCTGAGCCTCCTGGGTTGTTACAAAATAAATTAGTTTTATGTAAATATTTGTTAAGTCCAACTAATTTTAAAGACCAATGCCAAGCAGAAATTATATAGACAAGCACCTTAAATGTAAATGTACAGGCCTGCGAAGTGAATAAGCTGTCTGCAGAAAATCTTGTTTTGTGTATGCAGACACTTAAGAGACTAATTTTATTTGGTTTAATGCTACACATTTAAAGTCGTACATTTGCACGTTTAATTACTCCATTTCCAACTTTTAAGTGAATAAAAATGTAAACTAAGTTTTCTAGAACGCAAGTTGAATCTGGAAGCTGCAATTGGAAGGTCGCACATGTTCTGATTCACGCACAACTTGAAAACAAACCCCTTTACCTGCTTGCGCGTGTACAATTTTTTTGTGCACAAAATCGCGATGTGGTTACTAAAAGACGTTAGTTTGTGGAAATTTTCGTGTAGGCAAATCTTCAGTGTTCCTAATGGCATGTTTGTGTTTTAAGATGGCTCAACCGCCACCGCTCGCTTCACAACTCGGAGTTGAATCTGCGAGTGACCTTATAGGCAGAGGTCGCCAGAAAGCCACCATGCCCTCTTCCAGGAAGCCAGTCACAGGTATGGTTGCTTTTGCCGCTATAGTCATAAATGTCAGTTACGTCTTGTTTTGTTTTATTGCTTACATTACATTACAGTTGCATACATTACAATACAACTACATTGGTAATGGTGTTATTTATAGTATATTCGTTTATAATGAAGATGTATTGTAATTTCATTTTGCAGAATAAACTTTACCAACATACAAAAATAATGTGAAGAACTATAATGCCATCAACCTCATAAGTCTCAATGAGTCCTTAAAAATTCAAGATGCAAGAGGAATTGAATTGTTTGGCCAATTAAATTTTCAAGGAATATTTTGCATGTGGGAGAAAACCAATACTGTGGAATAATGTTCATAAGATTTGTATAGATGATTTCGTGAAGCTTTTCCTGTATGTAGCAAGTACGAGTGACTCATTTGATAAATACTAATTTCATTGTTATTGACCACCATAGAGCCAAATTTCGATTTAAAGCTTTCGTGACTGCAAAGATTCATCTTCTTTGGTTCTTTCGGTAAAGTCAAGTAGAATGAGAATAAAATAATAAATTGATAAAATAAAATAACACAATAATATTCTCACGACGTTTCGGCCACAACACAAGCGGCCTTCATCAGGTGAAGGGGACGGAGACTGTCTGGAGGACAGCGCTGGAGTGAGAAAGCCACACTGAGATCATGACCTTTAAGCTGTGTGAGAAGAAACAAAGCGCCTTGCCAAAGGAATTAGCATATAATTTAGCATTGAAATGGCTGAGTGGATTAGCTTGTGACTGGTCACAGAAAAGGCTATGTTAAAGTTAAAGCATACACATCTGCAAAGGCACCCCTTGACAAAGGAATTAGCATAGAATTTAGCATTGAAATAGCTAAGTTAAAGTATACACATCCGCAGAGGCACTCCTTGACAAAGGAATTGGCATAGAATTTAGCATTGAAATAGCTGAGTGATTAGCTTGTAACTGGTCACAGAAATAGCTATGTTAAAGTCAGAGCATATACATTCACCGAGGCACCTAGTACAAATCAAACAGGAGAATTTAGCATTGAAATAACTAGGCGAATTTAGCATTGAAATAACTGAGTGATTAGCTTGTGACTGGTCACAGAAATGGCTATGTTGAAGTCAAGGCCTACACATCTGAGCTATTTACAGTAACTGGGTATACAATATATAATGAATACTATATAGTGAACCAATAAAAAATACTAAAATATAGATTATCTCAATGTTATCAATAAACTCTATATTCTCCAATCAGCTGAGCTACCAACAATAAGTCGTTATATATCACAATGCTATATGGCGAAAAATGGGTGGATTCTTACCCTCAACTTTAGCAACACGGATAGCTACGGGTCCCGTTCAGACGGACGAGTTCATCCATGGTTGGAACAGAGGAGGGGGAGAGAGACAGCTGCGAGGCACTGTTATACTCCATGTTGTAAACCATACCATTAACCTTGGTGTGAGAGGTATTAAGAGTAAATGCCAGCGAAAGAGCTGCGGTCTGAAGGTCATCGTAAAATACAATTAATTAAGAACGGAAATGGTTTAAAACATCTTTCCAATGGTTACTAAGCCAGAATCCATCTTCTCGGTTGAAATTGTCTCTGTGCTTGTATATGTGAATGGCCTCATGAACGAATCTCTCATGGTAGCCGGTTGGTTTGCAAAGAACCTCCTTCTTGGAGAAGTCAATGTCATGTGAGCCCACTGAATTATAACAGTGATCTGCCACGGCAGAGGAGTTCGTTCTACTGTGTTTCAAGTCTGCTTTATGTTCGCGGATGCGGTCCGAGATATGTCGTTTGGTTTCTCCAATGTAGCTACTACCACAGAGGCACTTCAGTTTGTAAACACCTGGGTACTGTATGTCTGGAACAGCATCTTTTACAGATGGAACTAGTTCACGTATTTTATGTACTGTGTTGAATCGGACCTGGATCTTGTGTTTATTCAGGATTTTGGAGATCTTTTTAGTGACTCTATATGTGACTCTATATTCTCCAATCAGCTAAGCTACCAACAATAAGTCGTTATATATCACAATGCTATATGGCGAAACTGACGCCATCCAGACTGCCACTCTACGCCCAACCTTATGGAAGAGGTACGTGGATGACACCTTTGTCATCTGGCCACATGGCCAGCCTGCTCTAGACCAATTCCGCGGCCACATCAATTCCATACACCCAGCCATCAGATTTACCATGGAGGTCGAAAAAGATGGCAAACTACCCTTTTTGGATGTCTTAATTAAAAGGAGACATGGTTCAATGAGCCACTGTCTACAGGAAAGCTACCCATACAGATGCTTACTTGAAACCGGATTCCCACCACCATCCATCCCAGAAGAACTCCCTCATCAAGACTCTATACCATAGAGCCCAATGCATTTCCGACCAGGAACACATTACCAGTGAACTCAAGCACGTACACCAGGCTCTCAGGGCTAATGGTTACTCCGACTACACAATCCGCAAAGCCATCACTCCAGTCATGAAGAAGGATCCTCTTGTGGAGCCACTCAAAACCATCACCTTACCCTACATTGCAGGGGTCGCTAAAGAGATCTCCAAAATCCTGAATAAACACAAGATCCAGGTCCGATTCAACACAGTACATAAAATCCGTGATCTAGTTCCATCTGTAAAAGATGCTGTTCCAGATATACAGTACCCGGGCGTTTACAAACTAAAGTGCCTCTGTGGTAGTAGCTACATTGGAGAAACCAAACGACATATCTCGGACCGCATCCGCGAACATAAAGCAGGCTTGAAACACGGTAGAACGAACTCCTCTGCCGTGGCAGATCACTGTTATAATTCAGTGGGCTCACATGACATTGACTTCTCCAAGACGGAGGTTTTTTGCAAACCAACCGGCTACCATGAGAGATTCGTTCATGAGGCCATTCACATCTACAAGCACAGAGACAATTTCAACCGAGAAGATGGATTCTGGCTTAGTAACCATTGGAAAGATGTGTTAAACCATTTCCGTTCTTAATTAATTGTATTTTACGATGACCTTCAGACCGCAGCTCTTTCGCTGGCATTGACTCTTAATACCTCTCACACCACGGTTAATGGTATGGTTTACAACATGGAGTATAACAGCGCCTCGCAGCTGTCTCTCTCCCCCTCTGTTCCGACCATGGATGAACTCGTCCGTCTGAACGGGACCTATAGCTATCTGTGTTGCTAAAGTTGAGGGTAAGAATCCACCCATTTTTCGCCATATAGCATAGTGATATATAACGACTTGTTGGTAGCTTAGCTGATTGGAGAATTTAGAGTTTATTGATAACATTGAGGTAATTTATATTTTAGTATTTTTTATTGGTTCACTATGTAGTATTCATTATATATTGTATTGTATACCCAGTTACTGTGAATAGCTCAGATGTGTAGGCCTTGACTTCAACATAGCCATTTCTGTGACCAGTCACAAGCTAATCACTCAGTTATTTCAATGCTAAATTCACCTAGTTATTTCAATGCTAAATTCTCCTGTTTGATTTGTACTAGGTGCCTCGGTGAATGTATATGCTCTGACTTTAACATAGCTATTTCTGTGACCAGTTACAAGCTATTCACTCAGCTATTTCAATGCTAAATTCTATGCTCATTCCTTTGTCAAGGAGTGCCTCTGCGGATGTGTATGCTTTAACATAGCCTTTTCTGTGACCAGTCACAAGCTAATCACTCAGCCATTTCAATGCTAAATTATATGCTAATTCCTTTGTCAAGGCGCTTTGTTTGTTCTCACACAGCTTAAAGGTCGTGATCTCAGCGTGGCTTTCTCACTCCAGCGCTGTCCTCCAGACAGTCTCGTCCCCTTCACCTGATGAAGGCCGCTTGTGTTGTGGCCGAAACGTCGTGAGAATATTATTGTGTTATTTTATTTTATCAATTTATTATTTTATTCTCATTCTACGTGACTTTACCGAAAGAACCAAAGAAGACACCATAGAGCCATCGAAACCAACAGGTGAAATATCTGCTCTGGGCTTGTGGACTTACTGGACATCTGTGAAAAAGAACAAAGTTCATCAGGTTTCTCCAGTCTAACTAAAGATTATGATAAAAAAACATTTTTTTATAAAACATTAAAATTCTCACGACGTTTCGCCTGCAACACAAGCAATCATCATCAGGTGACTTTACCGAAAGAACCAAGAATATGAATCCCTGCAGTCACGAAAGCTTTAAATCAAAATTTAAAGATTGAGTTTTAGATTTGTAGGCCTTCACTGTTTCCCAATCTATTAAAGCAATTTTAATAAATCGAGTATAAACGACCTTGTCACCATGAAAGGCTAGAACTCGGAAGCTAAGCAGATTCCATCCTGTTTAGTGCTTGGCTGGGATACTTTTGGAATATCAGGTGTTGTAGGCTTGGACTGCAAGGTGGTCAGGAGAGGGTAGTATATATGGATATTTTAATCTGCAGAGTTTTTGAGTATTCTCTCATGTGCATTTGGATTATTACATCACTCCAGTTTACTCATGCCGAAAACTCGTTTATGAACTTTGAAATCCTCCGAATGTAGGATTGTACAAAAAAGTATTGTGGCTCAGTGAGGCTTTGCTAGCTATATGATGTGTATGCGATAATATATTTTTGGTAAATATACGAATAAGAAACATTGTATTTAAACATTGCTTGGAGTAAAATTTTTATCAAGTACTAAGCTTACCTATTTTCTTTCTTGTGATTAACATGGAGCCTGATTCTGGATTAACTTCAGGTATGTGTTTTAACATTTTGTCCCGTTAATTATTTATTTTAATATTTCATCGAATTATATTGGCCAATTAGCTTTAAAATCAAAACACCGTACGAAAATATTACAAAAAATTAGAGATGTGAAGGAGTTTCTGTTCAGTGAAGGCTAACAATTATTTATCGTACAGATGTACAGTTTTAATGTGTAAAAGTACTTTTGTCTTTTTCCCCTCCTATAGATGTATCTTTAGTGTCAGCAGGCATGGAGGGGCTGATGGTAGTGGATCGCGGGGGCCGCCGTCGTGGCCAGATGCAGGCAATGGATGTCGGCTTGATGACTCGCCAGACAATGGAACATGTCCGTCAGTCTAAGACTGGTGAGCGTTCATCATCACCACGATCCTTGGGGAGATAGCCCGGAGGTGTCCACTGCACATTTCGTCATTTGTTTCCACTTTCCTCTTGTCTTATGCCAGTATGCTCAGGTAGTGCAACATCTTTCTGACACCAATCTTATGTCGTCAAGCCATTCTCCTTTAGGTCTTCGTCTCTTTCCGGTTCTTCCATTTTGCCGAACAACACACTTTGAGCGTTCACACAGGCACAATTATTGGTCACTAGTGGACAGCCCGACCTGCGGACAGAGTGACATGATGACATGTGCCACCAGACCCTCGTGAGATATAGATCACTTACCTGACAGTACTCACCAGCGATCAACTCGCACGACTTACCACTCTCGAGTTGATACAAATCTATTGATGCCATGGCTCCCTCCGCCCCCATCCTCACCCCTCCACAATGGCACATGCCTATCCATTATATGATTTTGAATTGGGCCTGTTGGGTTCTTTCAATTGGTGGATCGGATAAGCAGTATTGGGGTCGATAACATTAATAATTAGGTGAAGTGTTAATTTCCTTTGAGTAAATTTGACCTCGTTTGCATAAACCAAACATAACATGCCACCACCATTGACCTCGGAGTTTTCCTCCAAAAAATACATACAGGTTGGTAATTTATAAATATATTGTTAGCTATGTTATTAATCATAGGGATGCAATTGCATGTTCTTAAATATTTAAAAAAGACAATGATGTATAGGATTAAGCTAAATTCTTTTTACACGTTTGTTTTCCCCTGCATTCCATTTGGAATGTGGGTTCCAGGCTTGTCAGGTCAGCCGGTCAAACTACTGACCAACTACTTCAAGTTAATGTCGCGGAAGATGTGGATGGTATATCAGTACCACGTGACATTCAGCCCAGAGCTGGAATCCAAACGTCTGAGGATTGCGCTGTTACATGAACATAATGAGCTGCTCGGTGAAACGCGAGCCTTTGATGGCTGCATTCTCTACTTGCCCAAGAAACTCGAGAAGGTAAATTCTGCGGTCACTTAACCCTTTTTCTGCAAGTTGTAAGGTGGGTCCCACTCGCCTTTTGAGTCTGGGAAAGCGCTATTGGCTCGCCGTTGTTTTTAAAGACATTGTACGCATTGCAGAGAACTCTTAGCGACACAACCGCACTCTATGATAGCTGGTGCCAAACTGTGCCATATGCCCTTCTGCATGTGCATGGTTTTCTCCAGGTCCTCTCGCATACCAAACATTTGTTCATTGAAAATGCTAAAAAAATGCATTTGGGCAAGCATTCCAGTGGAGGACCAGTCTGAAAATATCTGGAGACTTAATCAGAGGGCATTGTTTTATTTCAACACGTTCTCTTCAGATGCTCAAATATTTTTTAAAAAAAATTTTGATGGCCAATTTATGATCAATCTGTATAAGTTGAGACTTTTGAGTAGAATTTTTACAACATGAACATGTACTGAGTTGCATTTTTGACATCCCACATAACATTATAGTGACACATGTGTGATGTTTTCCATGCATATATTCAGGTGAGTGAGGTATGGAGCAAAACAAGACAGGAACAGAAGATAAAGATCACCATCACTTTGACCAACGAACTCCCACCATCATCACCGACTGCCATTGTGCTGTTTAACATCATCTTTCGCAAGTAAATAATGTAGCTCAGGTCTCTCTTGCTGGAACATTTGCAAACTGTATATTTTCCCTTAAGCTCAGATATACATCCCATAATTGTTTTAATCAAACGGTTCAACCATATGACCAATGAATTAAATATTTGCCCTTTGATGGATAAACAAACATTTTTTAAAAGTGTAAATTAAATGTACCTTTCCAGATTGACCCCAAAACTCATGGCACACAAACACCCCCACCAGCAGTCGCGAATGGCAGCAATGCCCTGCACTGACTGGTTCCTGCCACACTTGGCCATTCATTTTCCATGTTTAACGTTTATCTTAACATGTAAACTCATAATCACTGCATAAGTAGTCCTCACTGCAGCTGCATCGTCGTGTCTTGCTGTCAGCTTATAAATACCTGTAATTTAAGGAAAGGAAATGGTACCTTTTAGTATTCAAGAGATGGATTTTTCAGCCTAATTAAATCTTTGTGGGCCAACAGTATGCCTTTAACGTGCTACTGGAAGGGGACATAAAATGTGATTACAGTAAAACCTTGGATTGTGAGCATAATTCATACCGGAAACGTGTTTGTAATCCAAAGCACTCGTATATCAGTTGTGATCACGTGACGCTCGGCAGACAAAGCGTATACGTACTACTCGTATTGCAAGATCTCGCTCGTTTATCAAATTAATATTTATTTTAAAAAATTTGCTCGTCTTGCAAAACACTCGCAGACCAAGTTACAATCCAAGGTTTTACTGTATTATTTATCTACTAGCCTTTTGCCCGTCCAAGGACGGGTGTATATTGGAGTAAATGTGAAATATTCAATAGAAAAATTGTTCAGCTCATGATTATTAATGGGGGGGGGGGGTGCCCCATGTGGAGTGACGTCACTCACTAATGGTTATTGGGGAGGGTTGCTACATGTGGAGTGACGTCACCCGTTCATGATTAGTAATGAGAGGGGTGTGGCATGTGGAGTGTGCGACCTTGTGCGTTCGTGTAAATTTCCACGTGGGCATGAATATTAATAAAGGGGGGGGGCCTCTTTTGCAGTGACGTTACGTACGGATGTAGCACTGCGCTGCGTAGATTTTTTTACTGTCACTTTCTGTAAAGAAACGTCATTTGAAGCGATTTTGCGTAATAAATTATTTCACTTAGCTCGACCTTCCTTCTTGTACAAATTCACCCACTCATGAATATTAATGAGGGGGTGGGCCTCATGTGGAGTGACATCACGCGAGGGGGTGGGCCTCGTGGAGTGTCATGTGTGGGACACATTCTTGGCTCATTGTATAAAAGACTTAACTTAGTTTTTGCTTTGATGGTGTCATGTCGCAGGGAATACTTGGTACATTATAATTTCAATAAAAATGCAAATTTATTTGTGGATAAATGTCATGGGACATTTTCATTTCAAAATAAATGGTAGTTGATGTGAAAGGAAGTAAAACAAGCTCATTTTTTTAAAGGGTGCTGAAGATGGTCAACATGCAACAGATTGGACGTAACTACTACAATCCAGATGATGCATTCACCATTCCACAGCACAGGTACATTGATCCCATCACTCCTTACTCTATATAGCCAAACTCAATGATGGTGGCACAATGCTTAATGTCTTAAGCCTTTGTGTGTCTGCAGAGAAAGATCTTTGTGCCAGATTGTAAATTCTGCAGTCTTAAGTCTGTTGCAACAGTAGAGAAATGTCAATAATGATCATTACAATCTAAAATGTATCGCTTGGTCCAGTCAAACTTTACCCCATTGCGGGTTTTCTCATCGTGGATTTTACCACGCAAAATGTGTTGAGGAATAGTTCGTCAATCGCACCCCCTGTGGTTTGATTATCCACGGGGGACTGCAAGATTCTTGTCTGCACCGGAAATAAGTACTGTACTTGAACTGCACTGCTCACGATGATGCTGCCTCGAAAGGAATACACATGCCTTGTCTCCCACAGTTAGTAAAAATCTGTTTTTGTTACTTGTTTACTGTGCATATCTTTATTTTTTAGAGTTACCTTTACATGTATGTGTACACTATTGTACACATGTTTTTCCCATTCTATAAATTTACTGTCAAAGTTATATTTAACACTAGAAAATATTAATCATAGCTTACATTAAACGATACATCCTGTTTAATGTTTGGGTTAAGGTAGGGTAACATAAAACATAATGAGGGTTAGGTTGTCATATTACAAGCTGTGAATGAAACCAAAATTTTCCCATACGTTTTGAGTTTGCGGATCGCGGATATGCCGATTGCGGCTATTTTCAAGAACGTAACCCCTGCGATGGGAAAAGTTTGGGTGTAATTAAAATGCGGGCATGTCCCACTTGTCAAAATAACGCAGTAGTAGCCAGACCTTATATTCATTGTGATTTATGTTTTCATGTTGACATTTTTGTGACTTGTGTCCTGTGTTTCTCCTAGGTTACATGTCTGGCCCGGTTTTGTCACCTCCATCATGTGCTACGAGTCGGATGTGATGCTCTGTGCAGACGTCAGCCACAAGATCCTCCGGAATGAGTCCGTTCTGGACTTCATGTATACCTTGTTTGAGCAAATTGAAGAGCGACATTTTCACGATGCCTGCCAAAAGGAGCTTGTTGGCCAAGTGATACTCACAAGGTAAGGTCTTATTGCTGCAAAATGTGAGCTTTTTGTTTGTAATTTGCAATACATGAGAGCATAATTTCTCGTACAAGCTATTGCCATTCCACTAATGGATTAAGGCCTCTCCACCCTTAGCCAGTCCATGGGGGTTAGTTTGCCCATATTTCAACACGTTGGTCAGTGTGGTGTAGTGAAGATATTGAGCGTAGATGTGAGAGCCTATAAAGTATAGTACAAATTAGGATTTTTATGCAGTGCCCTCTGTTGCCTATAACTCCTGTATTTGTGTCTAGTGATCAACCAAGAACTTTCCATAATCTACCCTATTTAGTTTATGAGATATGATGAGATATAGGTGCCTTCTGGGCAGTTTGTTTATTGAAGATTATTTAGAAAATGCTTTTGAAATCCAAGGCAATAGTTTTAATAAGTTAGTATAAGATTATGAAATGGTGTTTCTCGTGTATACATAGGTCAGAATAATACTATTTTTTGCTTAGGAGCAGTTGGTAATTGTACCCAATGTGGCACCTTTATGAATTTCAATAACGTGAATTGTTATATTGCAGGTACAACAATCGGACTTACAGAATTGACGACATCTCTTGGAATAGAAATCCAAGCATGACCTTCCTGAAGTCGGATGGCACAGAGGTAACCTACTATGAATACTACACAAAGGTAATGTCTTCCTTTTTTTATTAAACATGTACTTTATATTTGATGCCATGTAATACTGGAATAACTTCTGGGTTGAACTTTATAGTGCTATCATCAGGGATTGATGAAATGAGTACCAGTTTGTGGAAAGTCAGTATCAGTAATTCTAGCTGCCCCACAATGGGAATGCAAATTTTTCAGCACTAGCTTTTATGGTCCACCAATGAATATATAAAAGCATTGCTGCCATTGCTCATTAGAGTTGTGATAAATCATTTGATCATTTATCTGGCTTCCAACATCCGGTGGTCTGATCCAGCGAAACTTGCAAAACCGCTCCCAAAGGCTGTGATTCAGTCCGGCAATCGGCACCGTGCGCGTGACAAAAAAAGTAGCTTTGCTTGATTTCAGTTTTGCATATATACAGTACATTACACACTACATAAAACTTAATGAAAATACTGCACATATATGTAGAATCTTAGAGACTGGAGTGGTAAGTATGGTACAGTAAATACGTTACCTTTTGAAAGAAGTAGGATATTTATCTTTATGCCAATTTCATATAGTAAACAAATTTAAAACAAAAAATATAACACCTACAAACATGATGTCAATAATTTGCAAAAATAAGCTATTTTAAATAATGATGTGATTATCTGGTGTTTTTGAAAATTGGCGCCCAAAGCCGCCGGATAATCAATGACCTGTAGTTGTGTAAAATCTTGTCTCTTTATTACCAAAGCACTACAGCCTGGAAGTGAAGGACATGCAACAGCCACTGCTGATCAGCCGCTCAAAGCGCAAGGACTCGGTGGGGAAGACAGTGGAAATAGAGCTGCACCTGTTGCCTGAGATCAGCTACTTAACAGGTGGGGGTTTTGTTGTGTTGAAGGGTTTCCTCCCAGCTGCCACCAGCGAATAGATATACACTTTATGGGAAAACCCCACAGTGTGATTGGGAAAAATAGCTCTGGTGCTGGTGTGTGAGGATAACTTTGTAGACAGGTTTCTATATCATGCTACTCTTGACATGTTTTTACTTGCTGTTAAATTTATATACCAAAAATTTAATTTCATTGTTTTTAGCACAACTCGGAAGGTGTGCATTATGTTGTACTGACATGACAGGAAGGTGTGCGCAGCTTAGGAAACCCTTAAATTACAAGGCACGTATTTTCAAAATTGACTGCAAGTGTGTGTTGGTGATATTCCTGTTTGTACTCCGTTTTGTCGGCGAGTATTTTTTTATGCTTGCACCCAATGAGCATGTGTCTTCACGTGGTGAGCCTTTAAAGTCTGGCATTGTTACTGGGTAATTGTTGGGAGTGTTGCTCAATTTATTATTGAGAATTAATTTCGTTGCAAATTTGAGTTCAGCAAGCGCGGTGTTTTCCAGGTTTGAGCGACAAAATGCGTTCAGATTTTCATCTCATGAAGGACCTTGGCTTACAAACACAAGTTGGCCCAGACAAGAGGGCAATGACCACGCAGAAATTCATTGAAAAACTCCAATCGTAAGTTCTGCACTGCAACGTAAATGTGGAATGAGGGAGAAAAATGCATCTCCATACTGTTTTTATGGTTACTACCATTTATTGGCAGCAAAATTTAATAGGCAAATGAGTTGAGGATAAACTGGGCAATAAAGACCAATTGTGTTTTGGCAATTTCTGATGCTGGTTAACGTTACACAATGATTAATAAGTGTGTTTTTTTTGTATGTTAAAATGTTAAGTTTACCATTGCCTTGTTATTAAAAGTTTAAAAGTGCAGTTTGCTGGTCTCATTGGACATGTTGCTTGTGCTGTCATAATTGTAGGTGCTACTTAACGATGCGCCTTAAAGACATACTACCCTTTTCACCAATACACCACTCGATGAAGGCCTTGCCATTGTTTTGATTTTACTTCATGCTGAACAGTCTGGGTTGATGAAGACTGGTAGCATAGAGATACGGTTCAACTTGATTATTCCCTTCTGCTGCATGACTGGTCAGTACCAGTTGGGGAAGTATGGGCCAAGTTCTCAGGACAGATATCACACTTCTTTGATTGTTAGCCACGGTCAGAAATCGAACACAGGTTGGGTTCATAGGAAACAGTGGTGGGCGGTTAATGTACTGCATTATCAACTTCTGCTCGCAAGTGTTAATTACCTTCCATGGCTGGCATCCGTGGAAAATGATAATTAAATTGGTCCAGGACCTTCAGCTGGAGAATACTCTCCTGATTAGTGTGGTGAAGCATGGTCAGACGACATCCATAATCGAGAAGTGCAGGGATGTCTTCATCACTTGGTTGACAAGGTTTCTGCACAGAATTCAAACTGTGTGCATTAAATAATTTCAGAATTGTGTGGTTCTGCATGCAGGAATCCCGAGACTTGTAATGAGTTTGCAAAGTGGGGCCTGTCATTCGATCGGCAACTGCTGAGCTTGACTGGTCGCGTGGTGCCTTGTGAGAAGCTTTATCAGAAAGATCAATCGGTAAATGTCCACGTTTCATTTTATTTGTGTTTAGAATATGTATACTGGATGCAATCATTCAGTTAGTGATTGGAGTACATGGTACCGAGATTGTTTATTAGTTGGTGTATTTTTTGTGGTTAGTACCAGTATAACCAGAGACAGGCAGACTGGTCGCGGGAGTCTCGTAACATGAAGCTGATGACACCCATCTCGTTGGAAGAATGGATGTTGCTTTTCACGCACAACAACAGCAATGAAGCTCGTGCCATTGTAGATAACCTGATGCAGGTCGGCCCACCCATGGGCATGCACATCAACAAGCCGGAAATGTGAGTGTCCGGATGATGGAACAGATTATGTTTTAAAATATTTACTTCCAAAGTATGTTCCCTATTTTAGTATACCACTTGAGTGACCAGATTTACAAAGCTGCTGGAGTTGTATGTATTTAAAACCTTGTTCTCTGGCTACAGTTTTGTTTTGTGTTTTTTCTCACGTGCCATGTGCCTGGAATAAGCAAAGTGTTTTTTTCGTCTTTAAGGTTTGAAGTTCTGGATCGCGCACAGTCATTTGTGCAAACCTTGCAGCAGAATTTGAACCATCACACCCAGATGGTAAGTGGGATCCTCATTTTAGTCACAAGTCTAATATTGGTTTTGTGGTGCATTGTTAAGAGGACAATCATTGGAAATATTTTTTTTTAATGCTGCAATTCAATAAAAATGTGTTTATTAGTATTTTGAAGGAGGGTGGGGAGTGATGCAAAATAATACTTAAGTTTGTACATGTGGTTAATAGTCCAGTATTTGTATTAACTAACAGCCGGCACTTGTTTTTGGACGTGTGACGGCTTGTCCCTCCTGGCAGCCAGTGAGCAAAACTTTTTGTTAATGTATATGATAGAATGAAGGCATGTCCTGCGCTGTTGTGTGGGATACACTGCCAGAGTGGTGGGTGGGGGGGGCATAGCATCAGCATGCACTAATCCAGCCCAACGTTGTGAGATGCGGGTGATGGTATCACCACGCTTCTGCACTTTCCCTTGGCAGGCAGGAATCTGGGTAGCAATCCAGGCAGAAAACTTTTCTAGCATAGTATAAAGTGCGAGAATATAATCTGTGCTTTTGTTTCTAATGTGGAATGTGATCAGGTTATGTGCGTACTGCCAACGATCCACAAGGGAAAGTATGATTCGATCAAGCAGTTCCTATGTGTGGAACGACCGTTCCCCAGCCAATGTGTTCTCGCTCGGACACTCAGCAAGCCACAAATGATAAGGAGCGTTGCGACAAAGATTGCATTGCAGATGAACTGCAAGCTTGGTGGAGAGCTGTGGAGCGTTGAGATACCTGTAAGTAGACTGCATGTTGTTCGGTTCTTTGTGTTTCAACAATTGCTTACCCTGATGAGGCTTAACACGTACTGCTTGCTATATGGAAATAAGTTGCTGTCATTTGTGAGCGCTAATGTCGACATATCCTATGGCTAATGAAGAGCTTCTATTAGAGAATCAGTTGTGATTTAGTAATCCGGTTGCCTTGTCTGAGAGTTGGTGAATGTTAAGATTTGGTCAGTATAGTGTCTTGAAGTAATGGGTTGTAAACAGTTGTGGCAAGATGCTGACAGAACTCAAATATTGTGACCTAAATTGGTACACAATTACATATCTGACTAGTGTCTGCATGGACTATTTTATGTTTCCCAGGTGGGTTTGTTAACCTGGCTTGTGTTTCAGTGATCCTGTTGTACAAGCAGTTTCTTAGATTTATACCAAACACATTTCTCTTTGGATGTGCTTTTGATCTATTTTTGTGGCATACAGATTAAGCAGTTGATGGTGGTTGGAGTGGACTCGTACCACGATTCTATTACACGTGGGCAGTCCGTCTGTGGCTTCGTAGCAAGTCTCAACCAAACTCTTACCAGGTTAGTAATGAACAATAAATACTTCTAACCGCCCTTTGTGATACCGATGCTCATTCCTATATTAATTGAATATAACCTCAGGTGATGTGCGTATTGTTAGGCTAATTTTAAATATGATACTGGTAGGAACCTCCTGGTTGCACCAGCCCAAAGGGGATTATTGTGTCCGTCCGTCGTGCATCCAAAAATGGGAGGGGTGTGTCTGGGTGGGGAGGGTCTGGGTGGAGAGGGGCTGGGTGGGGAGGGGCTGGGTGGGGGGTGGGAGGGGAGGGTCTGGGTGGGAGAGGAGGGGCTGGTCACCCCGTGGTGCCCTTATAAAACTCAACATTTAACCTACTCATGCCGGCTTGTGTCCGCCCTCAGTCGGGCATATTTGTGGAATACATCACGTGCCGCCGTTGACCCTGGCCATTGACCGAGCAACCCAACGTTCCTACCAGCTCCCTCCGCAGGAATGTGTTAACTTTTGAAATGTAGCTCTGATATAATTGACTTAAATTGCTCACTGTGTGATTGACTTTCATTTTCGCTGCTTAATTTTCTCAGCTTATCTCTATTGTAAATTGTCTGTCCATACAGATGGTACTCGCGTTGCATTTTCCAGCATGCTGCTCAGGAAATGATTGATGGACTCAAAGTTTGCATGCAATGTAAGAACTTTATTTCCCTCCAGATTGCAAGCCATTCTAATGATGTAATGATTTAAATACTTAAGTTTTAATAATAGGGTTTTTCCCCTTTTTTTCTGGCAACGAAACTGAAACCTTTTTTTATAAGGATTCATGTCTGCATTAACCACAATACTTGCAGTCAAAATGCAAACAATAAACACACTGATAATATATGCATTGTCCTTGAAACTGATTGGTCCACACCAGAGACAGCTTTCTTCAGAGCCTGGTCTCAATTGGTGTTAGACCAGATGACGCCTTTTGGCGTCTTAACACCAATTGAAACCAGGCTCTGAAGAAAGCTGTCTCTGGTGTGGACCAATCAGTTTCAAGGACAATGCATATATTATCAGTGTGTTTTTTGTTTGCATTTTGACTGCAAGTATTGTGGTTAATGCAGACATGAATCCTTGTAAAAAAAGGTTTCAGTTTTGTTGCCAGAAAAAAGGGGAAAAACCCTATTATATTTTGGTACTGGCAAAGGAGGTCCAATGATACTTAAATTTAGTTGTAGTTGCATATGGTATTTTCTCTAATTTGAGGTCGGTACTGAAAAGGGGGTAGGTGTGACTCCTTACCATTTTTCACCAAATTGATCAATAAAATGTACGATTAATCACTCAAGTCGTTGTCGACCATGATCAATATACTATTGGATGAAGGCATCCTCAAGTAGTTGCTATCTCTCGGCTCTTGCAACGCAACAAATCACATGTTGCTTATATACATATGCTTTGTGCGCTTTTTGGCGTTTATGTTTTGGTTATCAATGTCTATGCGTCCATAGCAGGCAACATTCTTCTTTGAACACATAAGGTAGTCGTTAAAAGCTGATTGGGATAAAAAATTATTAAATAAGAGGCACAATTGGGCAGGTTGAAGTGCTTTTACAAAACTGAACTTAATGATGTCTATAAAGTTATATTTGTCTTTTTTCAGCGGCAGTGAAAAGGTGGCAGCAGATCAATCGCACTCTACCAATGCGCATTGTGGTATACCGTGACGGTGTGGGGGACGGACAGCTGAGTATGGTAGTCAACCATGAGGTTCCACAGCTACTCGACTGCCTAAAGAGCCTGGGCACTGACTACACGTATGCCCCACTCGTCTTGCCATTCTTTGTGTTGAGACAAGTTCCTCTGTGCTCTATGGATTCAGCATGCTATAATAACTCTCCACAGCTGTTTTTGCCGTTAATCCTCGTCACAGTGTTTTCACGAGTTGGCTACGGAAAGTGTTTGGGATTGAAAGTTAATAATGTGCATGTATTGCTAAGTACAGGAAAAAGCTCTGTTATGGGCAATGGAGGGTACCGGTTAATCAACTATGCCAGTTATCTGAGAGTTATACTAATGGTTCACCAAACTTTTCAAGAAAGAAACTAAGCCTACATTTTATCTATGATATAAGAAATAATATACTCTTTGCAGAGGTGCTCTCCAGTCAGTTGCATTTCTAAGTTGATTGTAGAGAAGCAGTGGGGCAGTATACAGTAGTGCATTATTGTATGTACAGTACAGTTAAACAATTAGGTTAGGCAGCACATGGTCCAGTCAGTGTCACACTTAGAACACTACACTTAGAGAATGTACGACTACCCTGTTTATATAGTGTACTGTCACGATACAGTACAAACTCTTGGTTCTTTCGGTAAAGTCACGTAGGTGAAAAAATAAAAATATGAAATAGATATAAATAAATCATGACGTTTCGATTGCAACACAAGCAATCATCATCAGGTGTGACAACCACAGCAAGGATTTTTTTTTACCTTCAGAATGTTTTCCTTGCTGTGGTTGTCACACCCTGATAATGGTCACACCCTGATGATGATTGCTTGTGTTGCAATCGAAACGTCGTGATTATTTACTTTTTATCATTTTTAAATAGCTACTGCTGTGGTTCCTGTTTTTAAGCGTCCGTAAACAATAGATCTATGAGAAGCGCACAACAAGGTGCCGCGGATGGCTATCGGAATATTTTCTGGATACGTGAAGGAAGATTTGTATTGCCGTCTATGACGGGTGCCAGTCAATAGATTATTCCGGATGATGAAGTGCCAGGTAACAGAGCTTTTCTTGAAAATTAACGAAGCATGTTGGCCTTCTGATGTAGGTGGGGTTCTCCACACCGCCAGTTTGCAGCCCCCCACATCTTGGGAGTGGCCCGTTGAGTTATGATCCTCCTGAAAGATGAGGCTCGCTCAGACATTAAGGGATGCAGATTGCTGAGACGAAATTTAAACGAGCTGAGAGAGCCGTGGACGATATACAGATTAGCGATCACATGTGTGCAGATGTTACAACATGATAGCATGTGACAACGAGGTCTGCCAGGACTCCCATTTTTTACTGAGGCCCTCTGGTAAATATGGTCGAAGCACGCTAACATGTAGTTCCAAATGTATATTATTTACAATTGTCCTTATTTTTTCTTCTTTGGCTAATGAAGACCCAAAGTCACTGTGGTGGTGGTGAAAAAGAGAGGCATTGCTCGTTTCTTTGAGTTTGGAAGGAGCGGACTGCAAAATCCATCGCCTGGCACGGTCATTGACACTGAGGCTACGCGTCATGAATGGTGAGCTGCCAGTCTCAATCTGTGTTTTATCATTGCAGACCTGTGCTGTAGTTGCGCACCTGTAAACTTGTTAATCGCGTGCAAAAATAAAACCGTTAACGTGCAATTTTTTTACTTGTTGGTTAATGTCAAAATACAACTTGGGTGTTATGCGTCTAAATCTTGATTTGCATTTCACAACACGAGAACAAGTAAGTCCAGTGGACCACGGGAAGAGTGGGGGAAAGGAAGAATTTCGGCAGTAATTTAACAGGGCCAGGTAGTCAACAGCATGGGTGACGGGGGAAAGGGTTTTCAAGACTACGTGGGTATTTTGTTGACATTGGGCTTTTATTACAGTCATTTACGATGTGTTGCTATCGTTTTTGCCTTGATAAATCATGAGAAATTGGTAGGAATACGCTATTTTTGAAAGGAATTGACTGGATTAGCAACTAGGCATTAATATTACGGCAAATGAAGCATTTTTTTATAACAGCATGTGACCAAATCATTGCCCAGTATCAGGTTTTGGAAGCACGTTTGAGCCCAAGTCGTGCTTGGATGCATATCTACCATGCATAACATAACAGGCTGATGGGATACTTGGTCAGCAGCACATGGAAGTGCAGATAAACAATCCATTGTTGTACTTGCATTTCTATGCACCTACAGTGCTCCTGCATGAATCAACCCTCATTGACTAACATAGTGAAGTATGGTCAAGTAACTACCATCGCAACAGGGAATGGGGAGATGTCAAAGGGCTGTGCATATGTACAGTAAAACCTTGGATTGCGAGCATAATTCGTTCCGGAAACGTGTTTGTAATCCAAAGCACTCGTATATCAAAGCACTCGTATATCAGTTGTGATCACGTGACACTCGGCAGACAAAGCGTTGACGTACTACTCGTATTGCAAGACCTCGCTCGTTTATCAAATTAATATTTATTGCAAATTTTGCTCGTCTTGCAAAACACTCGCAGACCAAGTTACTCGCAATCCAAGGTTTTACTGTACAGTAGCATGACAAGGATAACACAAACATGACTCCCAAACAAATATTTCTTATGTCCTCTTACAACGGCCGTTTCCCCAAGGTATGACTTCTACCTCGTGAGCCAGTCAGTGCGCCAGGGAACTGTGACACCCACGCACTACAATGTGGTGTACGACACCAGCAACATGAAGCCTGACCACATGCAGCGGCTTGCCTACAAGATGTGTCACCTTTACTACAACTGGCCGGTAGGGGGCTGCATTGAGTTATATCGGAGGTTAATTATTGCCAAATAAAAATGACAGCGAATGAATCGAGATGATTCGATGACCAAATGTTTTAAATATTTTTTTTATTTCTGGATTGGACAATATCGATTTATACCGTTGGTAAATATTGCAACATTAATTTCAATGTTTTCTTTATCTTGCAGGGTGTCATCCGCGTGCCAGCACCCTGCCATTATGCCCACAAACTGGCCTTTCTTGTTGGGCAAAGCATTCACAAGGAGCCCAGCCTTGACCTTTCCGATCGACTGTATTACCTTTAAGACATCGTATCGGGTTCATGGCTATGCGTGGTAGTTGGATGACAATTTCCGACACGTGTCAGAGGTCCTTTAGAGAAGAAAACAAAATTAAGTAATGCTTCCTCAGCTTGAAAGATCTTTTAATTTCCAAAGTTGAATGGTCAAAGCTTCATTCTGATTCGAAACGATACATCGGCATGTGAAATTATATAGCAAAATATTCACATAGAAGTATAAATAGTTATATAACCAGAGTGATATCTTATGAGTGACATTTTGAAAGGTCATCCTTTATGGAATTTAAATGTTTTGTTCAATTTGAAGTTGTTTGTACAAGAGGCATGCTAAAGATCTCAAGGCATTTCGCAAGAGTATTGACCATTGTGTGCTGGCGTATATAGATAGGGACTCTACTTACAAACGACTTCGGATCTTGAGTTCTGTTCCCAGGTCCAACTTTTTACACCTGTCGATTCTAAACATGCACGGCATGTACACTTCACACGGGGAATTACTTTAAAAGTTGTATATCCTGTAGATGCCATTGGTTCTTCATGTTGTGCAAATATAGATGCCACTACTGCCATCTATTGTGCGGCGGTTGAACTTATGACTCGAAATCCGAAGAGGCAACTTGGACATATGAATCTTATAGCGGGACCCCGGGGTCCCATAAGCCCCTGGCTCTCGAATAAAATGCGTTACGACGTCATTTTATGTCTTCCTCTACACGATGTGCTAATCAAAGTTTTTGGTTTCTTTTGGGCATTCGTCCTCGCTGCGCTTGCACAACATGACAACAGAATTATCCGCACCAGGTGGATCGCGGCGTCGAATTGTTTGTAACTCGAGTCCCCCTGTACTGGGCGTCTGAAAAAGAGCATCGCTCATCGGATTCCTCCAATTTAAATATTCTGATGGTCCGAGTTTGAAAGATTCCAAAGCAATTCAAATATATCTATGGGTCTCTTTTTTTACTGGTATCAAAATGATGGAAAAGGAATGGGCTTTATGCTTTCTAGCAGTAATACACGTGTGCAAGATGTTTAAATGCCGATTGCAAGCATCAAGTCTGCATTCACCACATTGCTCTATGATGTGCACACCAACATGCTTGATAAAGTTTTGTCTTTGAAACTGATTGGCCTGCACCAGAGACGACTGTCTCCCCCACCGAAAAGGGTTAACCTAATTTGTTCATTTTGATACGGGGGCTGGGGGGGGGGTTCCGTAAATATAAGTGCTTAACCTGAGCTGTCGATTTGAAGTTTGCATTGTCCACCTTTTTGCGTTTTCCAGTGAAGAGTTGAACTTGTGTATGCCTTGCTTTATTACATGGTCTTTCCCTTTGTGTCTACTAGTATGAGTTAAGTTACTTCTCAGTATTCTGAAAATAACGTCAACGTTTCTAAAAAAAGTATTTAGAAGTTTAAATGCAGTAACCAGTATGTTCTGTTAATAAAGCAATGTTGAAGCTGTGTGTCCATGGACGCTTTTTATTTATTTGTTTACCTTTGTACTATCATGTTTTTTTGTAAAGTAACGATTTGACCCGCCCCCTATTGGACATCTGTGAAAGAGCTAATCGAATTTCTACAGTATAAATACATGTTCTGATTCTGTAACCCGAGTACTTTCGCTTAATTTAAGTAGAAACAACCGATGGAATATCAGACATTAAGTAAATCTAACACTGCACCTTGTGCTATGTAAATCTACTATGCTGGAGTGCCGTTTATACATACTGTTTGTGTGTATATGGTTGTAAGTACTTTAAATGCTGTGTACTGTTGTGCATGACAATGTCAATACCTGTACTACGGTGTATACGTTATGTAGAGTTGTATCTACAAGATCATGTGTACTATATTTACACAGCTATATGTGAAGGATATGTTAAAACAGGTGCTCGAAGGTGTGGCGTTCGACGTGTACAGGCGGGCAGTTTATAACGTGACCTACGTTTAATGGCAAAGATGTACGCGATTGCATACAAAGGTGATGTTTCAATGGAGCAAGTGAGGGTGGAACGCGTCTGTTTTTACAGCCCTCGGCCCAATAGCTGAAAATTCCACATTCAAATGAGTCCTATCAGCGGGACTCGCTGAGGCTTCGACAATCTCGAGAACATCGGGGCTTTGTGCGGTCCCCAGGATGTGGAGGTCAAGCTCCTACCCGCCGGGTGGGGTAGAGTCTTAAGCCGTGTTCGCATACCCGGCCACTTAAGAGGGAAGCTTCGCGTCGTCCGTTAGCTAAGCGAGCCGGGCCGAGGTTGCGCGTTCATCCTCGTCGCGTGCCCGTCCGGGACTCCGCCACTGCACTGCGTGGAACGTTGCGGGAACGTCGGCGGCGGTGGTGCGGGAGGAGTCGACTGCGGTGCCCCCCCCCTTCTCCCTCCTGGCTCCAGCCCCTCGCCCCCCCCCCCCTTTGTCTTCCCAATGCAATGTTGCCTCATTACTTTCCAGCCCTCCCCAACTACGACCGGGCCGATCCCAAACCCTCATCCGTCTAGTTTTACTGCATAACTACACCACTTACAATAACTTGATTTAAAATTATCATTCAACGTAAATCGTATAATTGCTGTAAAGCGCCTTGGTAAAGGCGCTTTATGCATATCATTAAGATAAGGACAACCACTTGAATTCCCGCACATCGGGGTTACTGCAGGGACTGCTATACTTACAAACGAGTTAGGTTCCAGAGGTCTGTAAGTCCAACTTTACTCCCGTCGATTCCAAACATTATGGGACCTTGTCAGTATTAAAATACAACAATAGGTTTTATCCGTTCTGGCAATAGAACAGTTGAGTCAAAATGTTAAAACACCAAACGAAATCCTTATTCAAGGAATCGTGTGTGCATAAGCCACACGGACTTGTGAACATGGAAACAAAAACACGCTCTCGTTATATACGCATTGTCTTTGAAACTTAAAGAAAGCTTAATTTTGATTTAAAGCTTTCGTGACTGCAGTAATTCATATTCTTAGCTCTTTCGGTAAAGTCACGTTGAAGGGAAACAATAAAATATATATAAAACAATTAAAAAAAAATTCTCACGACGTTTCGACCATAACACAAACGGTCATCATCAGGTGTGAAAAACCAACGGCAAGAAACATTTGAAAGAAGTAGCGGTTCGCATTTATTTTTAAACGGTGTTTGTATTTATTTAAAAAAAACGTGAGCAGCAATTTGGCAGTTTGTTTAGAAGGACGAGTCCATCTATGTTCTAAAAAGAGGAGGGGGGAGACGAAAATTTAATGTATGCTGTCTGAAAGCCACCGTAAGCGTGAACAATCAATTAAGACCTGAAATGGTTTATCAAATCCTTCCAATGATTGCTAAGCCAGAATCCATCTTCTCGGTTGAAATTGTCTCTTTGCTTGTATATGTGGATAGCCTCATGAACGAATCTCTCATGGTAGCCCGATGGCTTACAAAGAACCTCTGTCTTGGAGAAGTCAATGTCATGTGAGCCTACTGAATTATAACAATGATCTGCCACGGCCGAGGTGTTGGTCCTACCGTGTTTAAGGTCTGCTTTGTGTTCACGAATGCGGTCCGAGACATGTCGTTTGGTTTCTCCAATGTAACTACTACCACAGAGGCAACTTAGTTTGTAGACACCAGGGTACTGTATGTCCGGAATCACATCTTTTACAGACGGAACCAGATCACGGATTGTATGTAATGTGTTGAAACGGACCTGGATCTTGTGTTTATTCAAGATTTTGGAAATCTTTTTTGTGATCCCCTCAATGTAGGGTAAAGTGATGGTTTTGAAAGGCTCCTCAAGAGGGTCCTTCATGGTTTGAGTGATAGCTTTGCAGATTGTATAGTTGGAGTAACCATTAGCCTTAAGAGCTCGGTGTACGTGCTTGAGTTCACTGCCTATGTATTCCTGGTCGGATATGCATTGAGCTCTATGGTTCAGAGTCTTGATGAGATAATTCTTCTGTGATGGATGGTGGTGGGAATCCGGTTTCAGATAAGCATCCGTATGGGTAGCTTTCCTGTAGACAGAGTGGCTCATTGAACCATCAGGTCTCTTTTTTATTAGGACATCCAAAAAAGGTAGCTTGCCATTTTTTTCGACTTCCATGGTAAATCTGATGACTGGGTGTATGGAATTGATGTGGTCGAAGAATTGGTCTAGAGCAGGCCGGCCATGTGGCCAGATGACAAAAGTGTCATCCACGTACCTCTTCCATAAGGTTGGGAGCAGAGTGGCAGTCTGGATGGCGTCAGTCTCAAATTTCTCCATGAAAATGTTAGCTATAACCGGAGATAGGGGGGAGCCCATTGGGGTGCCCTCAGTTTGTAGAAAGTTCCATTCCAAGTGAAGTATGTATTGGTTAAACAGTGTCTCACCAGGGGGGGGGGGGGTACCTCTGTTTAGTCCTTGACGAACCAAGTCTTCAATAATTGCGATGGTGTCAGGTACAGGAACCTTGGTGAATAAGGAAACTACATCAAAACTGAGAAGCAGGTTGTCTGGGGACAGGGAAATACCCTTGATTGTCAACACCAGGTGAGTAGAATTTTGTACCGCAGAGGTGGTTTTTCCAGTGAAAGGACGCAAGATTGCAGACAAAAAACGAGCCAGTTTGTAGGTGGGGGAGTTGATAGTCGAGACGATGGGACGAAGGGGTGTATCTACTTTATGTATTTTTGGTAAGCCGTATAATCTTGGTGGCCTGGCAGCAGAAGGTTTCAACGAAAACTGTTTAGATTGATCAATTAATGCGGTTGAATCAGAAATTATTTTGTTGGTTTGTGTGACGAGGCTGTTGGTGGGATCTCTTTATTTTTGTATAGCTACCATCGTCGAGTAATTCTTTAATTTTGTTGTTATATTCTATTTTATCCATGATGACAGTAGCATTGCCCTTGTCAGCTGAGAGGACTACAATGTCATCCCTATTTTTTAATTTATATAATTCAAGACGCTCATCTTTGCTGAGGTTGCTAGCTGGCATCTTAAATGCAAACCGCCACTTCTTTCAAATGTTTCTTGCCGTTGGTTTTTCACACCTAATGATGACCGTTTGTGTTATGGTCGAAACGTCGTGAGAATTTGTATTGTTTTATATATTTTATTATTTTATTGTTTCCCTTCAACGTGACTTACCGAAAGAGCTAAGAATATGAAAGAAAGCTGTCTCTAGTGTGGTTAATGCAGACAGGATTCATTGAATAAGGATTCCCTTTGGTATTTTAACATCTTGACACTACTGTTTTATTGCCAGATTCAAAACATGTACGGCATGTCCAATAAACACGGGAAATGGCTTTAAAATGTGTATAATCTGTATATGTAGATGCCACTCGTCCTTTGTTCTGCAGGTGTAGATGCCACTGGTTCTTCACGTTCTGCAGATGTAGATGCCACTGGTTCTTCACGTTCTGCAGATGTAGATGTCACTAGTGTATTCACGTTCTGCAGGTGTAGATGCCACTGGTATCTTCATTTTCTGCAAATGTAGATGCCACTGGTGTATTCACGTTCTGCAGGTGTAGATGCTCCTGGTTCTTCACGTTCTGCAGATGTAGATGCCACTGGTTCTTCACGTTCAGCAGATGTAGATGCCACTGGTTCTTCACGTTCTACAGATGTAGATGCCACTGGTTCTTCATTTTCTGCAAATGTAGATGCCACTGGTGTCTTCACGTTCTGCAGATGTAGATGCCACTGGTTCTTCACGTTCTGCAGGTATAGATGCCACTGGTTCTTCACGTTCTACAGATGTAGATGCCACTGGTTATTCACGTTCTGCAGATGTAGATGCCACTGGTGTCTTCATTTTCTGCAAATGTAGATGCCACTGGTTCTTCACGTTCTACAGTTGTACAGTGGGGGAAAAAAGTATTTGATCCCCTGCTGATTTTGTACGTTTGCCCACTGACAAAGAAATGATCAGTCTATAATTTTAATGGTAGGTTTATTTGAAAAGTGAGAGACAATAACAAGAAAATCCAGAAAAACGCATGTCAATGTTATAAATTGATTTGCATTTTAATCAGCAAGATTTCTGGCTCCCAGGTGTCTTTTATACAGGTACCGAGCTGATATTAGGAGCACACTCTTAAAGGGAGTGCTCCTAATCTCAGAATGTTATCTGTAAAAAAGACACCTGTCTACAGAAGCAATCAATCAGATTCTAAACTCTCCACCATGGCCAAGACCAAAGAGCTCTCCAAGGATGTCAGGGACAATATTGTAGACCTACACAAGGCTGGAATGGGCTACAAAACCACTGCCAAGCAGCTTGGTGAGAAGGTGACAACAGTTGATGCGATTATTCGCAAATGGAAGAAACAGAAAACAACTGCCAATCTCCCTCGGCCTGGGGCTCCATGCAAGATCTCACATCGTGGAGTTGCAATGATCATGAGAACGGTCAGGAATCAGCCCAGAACTACACGGGAGGATCTTGTCAATGATCTCAAGGCAGCTGGGACCATAGTCACCA